AGTCAGTCAGTCACCTTAAAACAAAAAAATCTGTGTGCTGAGTAGCTGTGATGTTCTAACATGAGTGAAATGTTCAGTACTGTCTTTTTGATTGCACATATTGTTTTGCTTCTCTAAGCCAAAATTAAATTATTGAAGCTTATTAAATTCCTGCCTAAGCTGGATCTAATTTAATAGGAAATATTTAAACCTAAAGCAAATTACTTTTTTTTTTTTTTTGGTGGCTCAGCAATATAGTAGCTTGGGAAGAAAAACAAACTCTATATTTGAAATCAGAGCCAGTAAAACGAACACCCCATATTTCAGTAACTGGAAAACAACAAAGAATGCTAGAAGACAAGTGAGAAAAGGAGGTCCAGAGGGGTAAAAGCAGGCTAAATTAAGCTTAAGGAAGATAAAGTAACGTATCTGTCCAAATTCTTTAGAATCCACGTCACAAATGACTCCACAAGAATAGCAGAATTGCCAAGAGAACAAGGATATATGCCAACGGTAACATGAGCAGCATTGCAATTTCACATCAAGGTGACTTTTTTGAACTAGACTAGTTTCTGAGGAGGAAAAGATGACCCAGATGTTTACCGGTACTTTTTCCGATTCTTGCACCAGACGGCACTAAGACCACCCTGCGGTGGGTCTGATGGCACGGGGGCATTTTTTACACACCAGTGCTCTCCCTGCAGCTCATTTCCTAAGGAATTCAGCAAAATAACTGACTTACCTTGCCCGTAACCGCTGACCACACTTTCAGTGTGTTGTCATCAGAGCCACTCACTATTCGGTTCCCGCAGAACTGAAGGCAAGTGATCACGTGGTCGTCGTGGCCTTTGAGCACCTGGCGATAAAGAACACAAAAATGTACAGTCACAATTTGACACAGGAGACTAGAGAGAAGCCAGAGAAACAAAGTGCTCTTCTGATTCATAAATGATAAAATGTTAGAGTTGCTTCAGTAACAGTAAGGCCCCTTAATCCCCTGTGTCAAGTCTAATTTACCACCAGCCGGGACCAAAGAAGGTATTTGCCTCCTTCCATGGAGCTGTACCGCATTGCTTGGCAAGCACGCTACAGTTACTGTGAGCCTCCTAAAAGTACCATGAAAAATCACTAATAAAGTAGGCTGAACTAGTAACTGGACGTTGCTCAATTCCTCTGCAGTTCTTCCACCTCTTTATTTTTCAGTTGAAGTTTTTTTGCTCAGACATTTACCTTTTAAAAGTTGTTTCAATCTTGAACAAAAAGGATGGGGTTGTGTTCTTTGCTGCATATTTGTACTTCGGTGGTCAAGGCTGTCTGTATCTGTGGTTTTTTTTTTCCTTACTAGCCAAGCACTGTAATCTATTAAATTCCAGGCAGCACCAAAGTCACAAACTAGAAAACTGTTAACTCAATTAGATACAAACAAAAATGATAATTTAACGTGCCAGAAACGTGGATTGGAATGTTGCTTTATAGAGTTGGGATTTTCAATGCTTGATTTGGGAAAAACTGCAATTCAGTCTATTCCACTGCAATACAGCAAAAATATCAGAATACACAGGATGAGGAATTTTTTTATTTAAGATATCTGAGCATTTTTCAAGATGTTCATTGGAATGAAATGGGCATTTGGATAATGCCTGAGGCTGTAATTTTAATAATAATTCCAAGATAACTTGATGTGGTGTATCAAGGCAAGAAACAGAGAGCTGTTGCCAGAGATGTACACAAGTCACGGCCAAATAAACAGCAGGATGTCGCCATAGGTTTTCCACAGGATTTTTTTTTTGTTCTTGTATTTATTATTTTGTTCTACAGCAATCAAGAAAACAGGCAAATTGCCTTAAAACCTTAAAAGGATATTAATATGGGTTTTTCATGTTTCTGACTGCTTGTTCGATACTAGGTTTGATTAGTCATTTGCTATTTTATTTTACAAAATGTTTGAAGTACTGCTTCATATCTTTGTATTGGAAAAGGTGTAATGATAACGTATCAGTAGCATTAAAGTATTTTAGTATTTTAAAAAACAAAAACATCTTAACACGGAAAGAAGCTACTGTCTTGTACTGCTCAATTTATAAGAACATGTACAAAAATAGAGCATGAAATGATCAGAGCATGTGGAGCATTTTTATGTTGTGACATGGCTGCTCTACAAATATATATATGTATTCATATACATTATAAATTTTAACTTTAAGTATCTCCATTCAAGTTTCTGAGATTACCTGTCTCAAAGAGACAGGCATATGCACAGGGATTCACCAAACTGAACAGAAATTTTCTGAAAAGCACTGAAAGAGTTCTGCTGTACGAAGAATCACATTTTGATTTACTAAGATGGTGCTCAGACATTCATTTAAACCCAGAGTAAGCTAAAATAGAAATTATTTTCTTCTGTAACAATACACTGCTTTTTGTGCATGGATAGTCTGGCTTGTCCAAAGGGAAAAACCCCCTAGGAGTTGATCCTGCTTTGTTCATGGCACCACGCACATCGCTCAGCAACTCACCTTAGGCGATTTCAGTTCTCCTCGCCGCCAGTTGGTATCAATCCTGTGTTGTCTAATGTAGGCGCTTTTCCACGGACTGTGTATAAAGCCTGGTTTTATTACTTTCCTCCTCTTGATATGTAACGGTTCATCAATCCCTGAAATTAATTTTTTAAAAAGAGGGAGGGAGAGAGATGAGGCCACCCCAAAGAAAACCACTTCTCTCCCTCCGCAGTCTTTACAGTGAGCGCAAACGTCAGACACTGCGTTGACGTAACAGCCTCCCGCATGCCAACATTTGCACCGTGGGCCACTGACGCTCCCCAGCTCTTTATACTACATCTTTTCTTGTCTTTTCAGCACAACCATTGCAATAATCGTGGCTGAAAACGCTCTAGTTCATCATTGCTTGCTGGCAACCTACCAGCTTGGTTCAGAATGCCCCTTTCTGCGGCAAGGTAGCAGAATATTGCCTTTTTCAAATGGGTATTGTCCAACAAACTTCATAACCACTTGTACGCTCATTTTGGAGCCCTTCAAAAAACAAATCTTTCTATCTGTGGTCCTTCTCTCTGGTCACCCATCTTCATTACCTTTAAGTTCACTGTGACTATAGATATTAGTGAGCTCTTAATTCTTTTCTTGATTCAAAGGGTTGTCTGCTTTTGGCATTGTCCTCTCCTGGTTGGAATTTAAGTATAGCTGTGCCCTTTCTGAACTGACACTTAACAGTAGTGCTTTCTTTTAGCCTTGCTACTACAGATAGATTTTTTTTTTTTTTTACAGTTCTCTCACCCATCTCTCTTTACAATGCAGCTCCTCTCTCCACCACATCAAGAGTCTTGTCTCTTGCCAGTATGTGGATTTCACTCTTCTGCTTTTAGCCCCTTCTCTGGAGTCTCTATTTGCAAGTCTTGAATTAACTGCTCCTCCGTTTCACTGAGCACCTCGCTAAGTCGAACCAGTCTGCAATACTGTTTTGTTTGTATGCACTGTCATGCCTGGCCATGTTTATTTTTACTTCTAAGCTCACAAATGTAGGCAGGTTCCCCTCTTAACCTTTTCCTTTTTTTCTCATTCTGTGCTTTTAATGCATTTTCACTAAAATTTGTAAGAGGAGAATCTCAGAAAAGATTTAAGAGGTTAGGCACCTGGTTTCCATTGCAAAAGAAAACTAATTAATTTAAGTGCCTTTAAAAATACCAGCTACATTCACATTGTCATGGTTTTTAAAACCTTTGCATCAACCCCTCACGAGTTCTTGTCTCCATACTCTGGGGCAGCCTGGACTGGTCCCTCTGTTTGCCTGTGTCCAAGAGGGATGCTTGCTCTGAGATCACATGCATGTGCTCTGCCCCTAAGAACAGACTCCTTGTCCATATAATTCTCCTTAAAAATAAAAGCTTCCATTCTTCATGTGCTCAAATATGTGGCTGCTTTCCTGGGAGCCTTTTATTGCCCATTCCTAT